GTTGGTAATTTTATTCTCTAGTGAAAATAGTCATTAGGAATAGGGTAGGAGATTTATCAACAACAAAAGTTTAATTTAATTTAATTAAAAAAAAATGATTTTAACAAAAAATGTTCAAAAATGACCTCCATTTTCGTGTGTACAAAGATTAATACGTTTTAAAAAGTTGGATTGAACACTTTGGAGCATTCCGTCATCATTTCTTAAAGCGTCAATTTCAGTTTGAATACGCGCGTCTCCTTGAATCATCTTCTGTATTTACTGGCCTAGAATACACAAGGGTTTTCAAAGCTCCCCATAAAAAATAATCCATCGGTGTCAAATCAGGAGACAATTGTCTTGACTTGTTTTTTAGATTCGATTTGACCCAATTCAGTTTTCAGTGACGTTATTTTAATTCACCGCCTACTCTTCAAATGTGTTCAATTTTATTATTACAATAATTTAGACCTGGCCATCTCAAAAACAGCTGCTCAAATCAACTCTTACCAAGTATACATTTTTTATGTAAAAGACGTTGGACAATACGAATTTTCATTTAAAAATTAAATATGGGGTGGCTCAAAAAAGTTATTTCGTTTTAAATGTGTGCAAGGTTCCGCAGGTGGCGCCCTCTTAACTTTACAATAAAAATGATAGCAAATTCTAATTTTTCAACCAGCAAAACCCCCACAAGCCGAATATTGTGACAATACACCAATTATTAGAAAAAATATTTATAGAAAATGAAAATCAAATTGGACTTCTGACACTCTGTATCTCTGAAATAATCCACTTTTGGGCTGAGGTAAGTTGAGTTAGATCGTCATATTTACGCCTCAGGAACTTGTGGTAGCTTTTTTTCCGCACCTTTTCATATGTTTTTCATTTTTGTTATGTTATAATAAGATGACCCAGTTTTGATAATAAAGCCATTTATTCAGCTACTGTGAGAATTTATTTTATTAAATACTCAATACTCTTATAGTAAACTATATTTTGATTCCCTTCAAAATGATAATCTCTTGGCACAAGAAAAAATATCCACTTATTATAATGAGATATTATCAATTTATAGCAAGATCGAAATATGTTGATTCAAGAACAAAATTGTTCAAATATGATGGGAGATCCACTTGACAATAGAAGAATTTTCTTCCTTCAAACTAATTGATTCTTCCTCCAACTAATACGAACGAATATTCATTCGAATCAAGATCATTTTTTATGAATAAGTCAAGAAAGTTCTGCAAAAAAATCAAACAGATATTGGACCAATTCAAGAGCGCCATAGGGTTGAATCAGTGCTGTCCCGCATTGAATCAAGAAATCCTTTTCATCTGTTTGAGTATGTGTATTTATAGTATATCTGTTGGCGTATATGTTCCTTTCCCAAAGAAACACCCTGTATACCATTGAACGCTTCTACCTTGAAATAATCACAAGCAATACGAACCATAGGTTTGGCGAGTCCGTGAGAGTATCAGCTGATGGTTTTAATTGAAAAATCGTTATGGCCCAGTGAATTGCAAGTCTCAGTCCATTTATGACATTTGTAATTTCATGCAAGCAGCACACGATGGTGACAATAAAAAAGCTAGCTATATTTGGTGTCCTCTAAAGCCGTGGAAAGTAACATACAAATTGATTAGTCCTCATAGAATAAGAACTTATTCAGGTTTGCTACCGAATGATAATTGTCCATTGGGAACTGAAATGATCCAACTAAAAACAGTAACATCCCGTTCGTTTTGGCCTCTTGCTGAAGCAGGAATTTCACTGATAGTCCAAGATCCCATGAACGCCAGACCTTCGTGATTTCATAAAAGCCTTAAGATTCCTAGCTCATGCCCCTCAACACAGGTATAAGAACGCGATGGGCAAATATGAAGAATAGGTCATGGTGTCTTTACTCTTTGGGAGCTTAGATCAGGGAGTGAACATGCTGAAAATACCAACTTACTTTCGTTTCACTATATGAAGGGCGAGATGAAGGGCTATTTTTTTATATTTCATTCGGGATAATATTAGAAACCACGTCATCCATTTCCAGACACGTTACGATGGTGCCTTCCCCTTGCCAGGCACTCTTAAAATTTAATGAATTATTGTGACCTAACTTCCGTTGAAGTATTGATGCTGAATTATATGCATGTTACTTTGGTAACAATTAGAAGATGTTTCCTCAGTAGCCAGACCGTTCTGGTGGTGCTAACTCCTAGTCAGGCAGACATGCAGTACTAGGGGTGGGAAAAATTATCGATATATCGATAATTATCGATAATTATCGATAATTATCGATAATTATCGATAATAATTTGGAGAAAAATTATCGATTTATCGATATTATCGATATTATCGATATTATCGATATTATCGATATTATCGATATTATCGATATTATCGATATTATCGATATTATCGAAATTATCGATATTATCGATATTATCGATATTATCGATATTATCGATATAATCGATATTATCGATATTATCGATATTATCGATATAATCGATATTATCGATATTATCGATATTATCGATATTATCGATATTTTCGATATGTTCGATATTTTCGATATTATCGAAATAATCAATAATGTCGATGATATCAAAATCATCGAAATTACCGATATAACCAATGATATAAAAATTATCAAAATGAATGAGCATCAGAAACATAGGTATTTTTGTTTCTTATATGGAACACCCTGTATAAAACAGATACTTGTTGGTAAGAATTGAAGTAAGAATGAAGAATATAATAAGACACGCCACCCTGTACATCAGCTCTGTTCAAACAACATAGGACTCCAGCACAGCAACTTGCATGAAGCTATCTGACATCTGGCAACGTGGCAACCCTTATTAGTTGTGGTGGCAAACTTATTGGTTAGTTATGTGTTGAACGAGTAACAAGTATCAAGTAAGGTGGGTTATCTAATTATATGGAATATTTTTATTTCATCATTCGATTGCTCATTTCTTGAAAAATAACATAATGACAAAATGGCTTTGTTTATTATACCTACGTAGAAACCAGAAAGTAAATATAAAAAATTAGTTTTATAAAAATACCCTTGTCACGACTAGGGGTGGGAAAAATTATCGATATATCGATAATTATCGATAATAATTTGTAGAAAAATTATCGATAATATCGATAACATCGATAATATCGATAATATCGATAATATCGATAATATCGATAATATCGATAATATCGATAATATCGATAGATTATGATTATCGATAATCGATATTTCAAAATCATTATCGCCCACCCCTATGCAGTACCCCATTTATGATATAAACTGGGCGTCAATTGAAACGTTAATAGTGAAATTTGGCATCAAGTTTGACTTCTCGTAATTTCTAAAATATTGAACGAATTTTGAATTTCCGCCCAGATTCTAAATGCCTTCTTCATCGTCTTTCGAACCGTTCCTTACAGCTTCTTCTAAATTGATCAGGACCCGTGATACAGGGTGAAACAATGTTTCGTGCATTTTGAAAAAAATTTCTCCGCCCCCCCCATTTTGTCAGAAGACCACGATGCTCATATTTTATTCGGGCATTTCATGAATAGCAGACATACCTCGGGACATTTTCGAGTTTCTGCCAAAAACTACTGTGGTTTCCGAAAAAAAATTTTTTTTTGCATTTTTTTTTAATGGACTAACTTTAGAGAAGTTCCATGAATGGATGCTTTTATGCATTTCAGGAAATCGTTGGAGCAGATATGTATACCAGGTTACTCAAAAACAATCAATAATTTATTACTTCGCAGTCTATGATAAAAGTTTTCTACCTTAGTGAGCAGTAAATCAACACATCTCATCAACAAATACAAACAACGATACCTTGTTTCTATAACAGCGTATTGTTGAAACAATGTAGGTATGCATAGAGGTTATATCAATTGCTAATTTTCATGAAAACGTCAGTGTAATTCGGGTCCTAAAAAATTTAAAGATGCCTAGTTCAAATCGGGTCCAAATGGAAAATATCTTTAGGTAAGATCACTATAGTGATATTAACTATAATTCAGTACAGATAATTATTATTTCAGGTTACGACGATTAGGATATACTCAAACTCATTTAAGTACCATTTTCAATGAGTCAGTCATGACAATAAAGAGACTGATTCATCGTTTTGAGGATACAGGTAATTAGTCCATTTAAAAAAAATGCTAAAAATTTTTTTTTTTTTCGGAAATCACAGTAGTTTTTGGCAAAAACTCGAAAACGTCCCGAGGTATGGTTGCTATTTATGAAATGCCTGAATAAAATATGAGCATCGTGGTCTTCCGACAAAATGGGGCGGGCGGAGAAATTTTTTTCAAAATGCACGTAACTTTGTTTCACCCTGTATCATGGATCCTGATCAATTTAGAAGGAGCTGTAAGGAACGGTTCGAAAGACGATGAAGAAGGCATTCAGAATCTGGGCGGCAATTCAAAATTCGTTCAATATTTTAGAAATTACGAGAAGTCAAACTTGATGCCAAATTTCACTATTAACGTTTCAATTGACGCCCAGTTTATGTTTGAATTCAGCTTTACACGGAGATTCCATATATTGCATAATAACTAGGGTGTTTCATTTGAAATAATCGACCCGAACATGTCAATTCCAACGTATATTCAATTTTCCCGAATTAATGTGGCAAATTGGTATTCAAAGTCGACTTGTTACAAGAGATTCTTCAGAAATTGATAACGTATGGTCCGAAAGTTTTGGGGAAAAAAATTACCTGGATTGATTGAGTGACAAAATGCATTTAATCAAGCAGGAGTGGTAATTAAAGGGCACCCGTCTTGTCATCTAAATAAGCAATGCAAAAGTTGTTGGTTTGGGCTTACCAAAATGTCTTAAAAAATTGATCTTCGTCGAGGTATTTACAATCTCGTTGGGCGAATGACGAAACGAGAGATTCGTCGATATTTTTCAAGATCAGAACATAAGTGAATCGACAATATACCGTACAATTAAAGATTGTGAAGAAGGGATACCGTGTATGAACTTGCTAAAAAAAGGTCGGCCGCGGGTTTTGAACCAATTAAGAGAGCGGAGACTTATTCAAGCAGCTAAACACAGAATTGGGATCTCACAACGAAAACTGGCCAGAAGATTTCATGTTGGAAAGACTACGGTGTTTGAGACCCTATCAAGACACAATGTGTTGTTCCGGAAAAGGAGAAAAGCTCCAAAATACACAGATGCTCAGTTAGGAAGAATTCCAAGATGTTGCCGCGCGTTGAGGCGAGTGCATTTTGCCAACAAGTTGATCGTGATGGACAACAAAAAATATTTCACTTTGGCCAACTCTGAGATGAAGGAAAATGATGGTTTCTACACGGACGATCACGCAAATGTTCCTAACGATGTGAGAGTCAAGAGCGAAAAGAAGTTTGAGGACAAAATGTTGGTATGGTGTGCCATTTCTAAGGCTGGTTTCATTTCACAGCCTTACATTGGCGTTGTTCGTGGTGAGGTCTTAAATGCAGAGCGATATATTGACAGATGTCTTCCTAAATTGCTTCAGTCTTTTAATACAAATCATGCGAATGATGAAATTATGTTTTGACCAGATCTTGCTTCATGCTATTATACGAGAATCACAAGGGATTGGTGATGGGTATGGGGCCAACAACATCAACTTTGTACCGAAAGTGGACAATCCCCCCAACCTACCTCAGGCACGCCCAATTGAAGACTTCTGAGCAACATTGAGCCGGAAAGTCTACAATAACGGATGGGAAGCACAAAATCAAGAATAACTCTGACGTCGTATATCGGGAGAAATCAGAGAAATCAACGCTGGGGTCGTCCAAAGGATGATGCAACGCGTCAGAGGAAAACTCAGGCAGATCGAGGACAACGGTCCCTTGTCGATTATTTGAACTTTAGGTAGTGATAAGAATAGTTAAGAGATATTGTAAGATTATTTGTTAAGATTATAAAAATCTATTTCTAAGAGTTGTCAGCACCTGATTTTTTTCCCAAAACTTTCGGACCATATACGTTAGTTTGACTGAATATCAATTTATTCAGTACTTTACGAAAGCATTGTATGTCTGTCTGGCTAAGGGTTACCAACATTCAATTTCCCCATATATATGAATGTGGCAGATTGGGTTTTTGAATCGAACTGTTCCAGGAGACTCCTCAAAAATAGATATAGTTTAGCTAAAAATTAACGTATTCAGTATTCCACGAAAGCACTGTATTAGGTAGGATACCTCCATAAGCTACTTGAATTCAACTGATCAAAGATCATCAATCGTTGAGGATTATGTTTCGAGTTCGAAGTAGCCCATCATCAGCCAATTTAATGGTGAATCGTTCTCCTTTATCATAAGTGATAAAGAGAGATTAATGTCAATCTGTCCATTCCCTCATTTTTTCGAAATACCTGGAAAAACTTTTACTAATACTACTTCACTGAATTGCTGAAACTTATACATCTAAAATGGATTCTTGTCTACGCATACAAAACTGTCCCTCTTTTTTTCAGAAGGATGAGAACCCCATGCAGAAAGAGAATTTATAAATACGTTTGAAAAAATATTCAGTTCCTCATTGATCGATTACTCTCGGAAATAAATTGAAACAACCTGTATACCAAATAAGCAATCAGTTCAATCTATATAAACAATTTCATGTTATAAAATCTAATTAGCTGTAAGGGATATGACATACGTATAATATCTATCAATGTTAGCTATATATAGTCCCCGATTATTATAAGCAATTAATCAAGCGGAAATTTGAAGGAATATTATTTATTGTCATGAAATCACTTGATCCTATCAGCTACAAGGCTGTATTAGTGTATTTTTCTGATTTCGTTGCAATGTATGACCGTTTTTTTTTAAATTAATGTTCAGGTACGTTTATTTTTACACCGGTCATATTTTAAAAAACCATCTGTAGCGATCCACCTTATAGTGGAATGTATCAAATAGAGAGCATGTTATGAAGCTTCAAAGCTCCATCAACAGCAAATAATAAAAGCTACCTAACAGTATTGAAGAAAAAAAAGGAGAGCACGTCTTTAGATCTCAATTGACAAACTTCCTATCTAATATCGTCATATATTATGAGTCTCTACGATACTTAAATATCGTAAATATTGTTGACTTATCATGGAATGAAATGGAATAACATATAGGGTGTTTAATTTGATGATCTAAAGATGAAGTCATCTTTAGGAAAACCGGAATTCTATAATGTGAGAAAGTGTCCTCTAGTGGAAATATTCGATCTTCCAAATTTCAGAAATATAGCTAGAAAATCAAAGGAGGAAAGGGGGATATACGAGGGGATATAGCATGAGTCCCCGGTATAGCCTGAATTTATACTTCCTCAAATTCACTTTGCTGTTGAAAATTGAACAATAAACTGCGTTTTTTTTATTGACTCGGCCGTTACTTGATGAAAATCCATGGGAAATGTAAAAACTTCACGAACGATAAGATTTTCACAGAATTCTCAATCACACGACATCATGTTTCGCTAAGACAGTAGATTGTAGATGGGTAGTATAGGCTGGGAGACATCTCGATCACTGCGACCTAGAAGATCTATCGTGATTACCCCTATCTAGTTTTGGTCCCCTCTAACCCTAGACTTCTGGTGAAGCCTACGATTTACCTGACGGTTGAATTTTCCACTTCAGCAGTTGTGAGATAGACCTGTTCTATAGGTGGTTCAGCCTTTGGCGGACTAATACTTCACATGAGCAAAGTTTGTGTTCCGCGGTTTCGGTCGCATTGTTACAAAAGCGGCAAGTGTCAGTCTCCGCCAGGCCCATCTTTTTGAGGTGGTACCTCAGAGGGCCGTGTCCTGTGAGAAAGCCTGTGATAAGCTTTAGCTCTGGTTTGCTGAGGATGAGTAGCTCTTTGGCTCGGTTCTGCGAAGGGTTGATGAACCTTTTCGCTTCTCGTTGACCTGGAGTTGCTCTCCAGTAGGAGGACTTTTCAATTTCTTCCCATTTCCGCTAAGACAGTAGCTTCATCAATGAATGGTATATACAAAATGAACTGATCAGTATTTCACCTGATGAAGCTACTGTGTTAGCGAAACATGTCGTGTGATTGGGACTTTTGTGGAAATCTTATAATTGTGAAGTTTTTGGAATCAGCTTCGTTTGTTACTTTTGTTATTTTAGGACTTCAGACTCAAACAAACGCACTACCAGGTATGTAAGAGTCGGAAAAAAAGTATGGTACAAATCGCGGCTGTACCTACTACAACACTAATATGAGTACTGTATGTAGGTTAACCGAGGAGATGTTACAATAATTCCATTTGATAAATCAAAGCTAACTGAACAAATCCTTGAAAATGGATGACATATGGCAGTGTGGAATTATATTGAAATCACAGTAAAGGAATATTACAACCCAGAAGAGAAAAATCAAGGAACCCACTAGCATTCTTCTGAACGGAGACGATAGCATTGCTTCCTGTGCAGTTGATATAGAGAGGAAATTGTATTCACTACTGAAAACTGACCATGCAAATGGTAGATACAAGATCAATTGATTGAAACCTCGATTGAAACATTCTGTAACCCATTTGTATACTAAGATCATCACTCATCCATATGCCAACATCAGTATGACACTGAGACGTGTCAAATTATAACAGAATTTTCGAAGAAAAATACGTTGCCTTGTTATGTTGAGAACAGAAGCAAATTCGTTCTCGAAAAGTCCAAAGATAAGTAAAAATCCGATTTTTTTTTTTCAATAAATCTACAAGGTGTTTCACAGGTAAAGGGATATATTTCAATGGTAGATAGGGGTCACCAAGGTGGTTCTGAAAATACCATATTTGATAGGTCTTAGAGTTTTCATAACGGAGATTCAGGGCGATTTATCGATTTCGAATAATTATTCATTCGTCTATATGTATTTACCTACCTAGTATATTTTTCTAAAATTTGGTATGAAGCTTATACTTGGGACGTTGAATTCATTCACCTATTGGGTGAAGTGAAAATCCAGGTTCGGCTTCAGGAAAAATTTACATTTATTCGAAATATTAAAATAACACACTGTATGTAATAATTGACAGAGTTCATCGAAGGAATCGTGAAGAGGAGGAAAAACTGAACTAGATTAGATGCTCTTTGTTTTCCCGCCACCAATTCTCATCGTAACAATCATAAACAGAAAGCTGAGAGTATGTCAATTTGAAGAGTATTGAAATTATGAAACCAGTGTCAATTATGATTATTCGATAAATTTTAATCAAAAAATTGCTCGAAAGAACTGATCAGGTCTCACAGTTTTTATAACGGAGATACAGGGTGAATTATCGGTTTTGAATAATTATTCACTCGTTCATAAGTATAAAACTACCCAGTAACATTTTCTCAAATTTGGTATGTAGCTTACTTGGAACGATGGATTCATTAACCTATCAGGCGGAATGGAAATAATACCAAATAATTATAATTCGATAATTCACCCTGTATCTCTGTTATAAAGACTATGAGACTTTTCCTGAAGCTGAATTGAAAGTGGTTTCATGATTTTAATACTCTTGAAATTGACATACTTTTAGCTTCCTGTTTATGATTGTTACGATGAGAATTGGTAGCGGGAAAACAAAAAGCATCAAATTCAGTTCAGTTTTTCCTCCTCTTCACGATTCCTTTGATGAACTTTGTCAATTATTACATACAGTGTGTTATTTTAATATTTCGAATAAATGTAAATTTTTCCTGAAGCCGATCCGGGATTTTCACTTCTCCCAATAGGTGAATGAATTCAACATCCCAAGTATAAGCTCCATACCAAATTATAGAAGAATATACTGGGAAGTTCAATACTTATAGACGAATGAATAATTATTCGAAATCGATAAATCGCCCTGTATCTCCGTTATGAAAACTCTAAGACCTATCAAATATGGTATTTTCAGAACCACCTTGGTGACCCCTCTGTACCATTGAAATATTTCCCTTTATCTCTGAAACACCCTGTATATTTCTTCTCATCAAACTTTTTTCCAAATAAAGTATCACTGACAAGCTATTGGATTTTTTTTAGACTCCCTGATAAAAAAAATTTGTTGAACGCAGTGACATTTTGGGGCAAATCATCTGATTTGTCCTAATTCACATATGTTGTAATAATACTCACATTTTTATTCTGCAGGAACGAGGAGAGAAAATCACAAATAATAAAATAATAATAGTTTCATAATGAGGTACTCTATACCACACTTTACGAGGACAAAGTGAAAAATAGTCCTTCACATTTTGAATTTCCCTTTCATAATTATGAAGGAAGCTAGAACTGATTCCTTATTGGTAAATATATCGACAATATCAATAATTTCGTTATAAACACGAAAAGTGCGTGTGAGAGAACCCGTCTCCTTCGGACTCGCCGAGCTCTTTCGCCAAAATATGAAAATTAACTTGCAATTTTTGGATAACACGCATTCTCGCAAAATTATCAGTGATTTTCATGCACTTGTACATTCCGATAACTGATAGTATTCATCTATGTTGAAAAATACTGGTCAAAGTTGACATAGTTCGCAACATGTATGACAACCGAGACCAGGAATATAGCATCTATTTTTGAATGAATTAATAGAATTATTGGTTGTTGTCATTACGATATGGATATTTATATCGTGAATGTCTATATAATCACGTGGATATGTATATTGAACTCACCTGTCGAATCTCAAATTTCAA